CCGCCGCTGCAATCCGCACCTCCGCCTCGTTGTCCCGCAGTAGCGCGATAAATGCTGGCACCAGCTCCGCACTGGGGGGGGAAGGGGTTGGAGGGACGGAAAGAATGACGCCTTTATGTAGGGCTCGTGAGACTCTCCATGCCACCCGCCTCGATGTCACGCAGCAGCGCAATGCACGCAGGCACAGGGAGAAGGGGGAAAGGCGGGGGAGGGGTTTCACGGTTGCATACGGCTCGTGAGATTCCGTGTGATCCGCCTCGTTGTTGCACAGTAGCGCAATGAAGACCACAGCAGCTCCACAGTAGTGCCGGTTGAGAGAGGGGGAAGAGCGGGGAGGGTTTGCACAGGGAGGTATTGTGCGACATCAGGACATCAGGACATGCGTGCGACGTCTACGTACCGTGCGACGTCAGGGCCCACTGCCTCGCAGAGCTCGTGCAGCTGATTGGCCACCATGTAGCGCACACGCCACGACTTGTCCTGTTGCGACACACCAGATGCCACATGCCACGTCAGCAGAGGAATATCTCAGCACAAGCATTGGCCTCGGAAGACGGCAGAGTTGGGCACAAAGAAAGGTCTAACTACACGCAGATGCATAGGCCAAGGAAAGTGAGAGTTGAGAAGCGGGAAAATGCAAGTGCAGGTGCGAGCGGGAAGAGCCAGCAAGTTACAGGGTAATCAGACAACGAGGGTTCTAACCTAGCGACCCTTATCGATACAATGCACAGGTGAAGAAGAGGTGAGCAGGGAGCAGGGAATAGGGAATGGGGAGTGGGGGGGACGGGGAGTGGGAAGCCGGGAACAGGGACCAGGGGGCGGGGAACAGAGAGCAGGGAGCGGGGAGCGGTAAGCATGAGGCATTTCTTTTACCTGGGCGAAGGAGAGGATGATGGGGAGGATGGTGGATATGCACTCCTCCTTCTCCAGCAGCTTGCCCACCGCCGCACACCCCTCCACCGCCAACAACCGCACCGAATCCTGGTCTGCAAGGAACGAGGGACGCACACAACAAAGGGGTGACGAGGCGACATGGCACGGAGTGGGACGTGAGGAAAACAGACTCTGAAGGCGCCTCACCGTTTCCACCCACTCCCGCTCCCTTCGCAACAGACCTCCTTTATCATACCCACTCCTTCGCAATAGACCTCCTTTACCATACCCACTCCTTCGCTAAAGCCGTCCCTTTTCCACCACCCCTTCGCTACAACCTCCCTTTAACCCCATTTCTTCGCTACAACCTTCCCTTCCTCCCCTGCACGCGCCCTACCCTACACGCACCGTCGTTAGTGAGGTCTTTAAAGAAGGCGAGGATGTCGGTTTTGAGGAACTGCGGCTCGACGGTGGCAGCGAACTTGCCCATGTTGAGCGCGGCGGAGCGGCGCACCATGGGCATGTCGTCGTGGCTCAGCTGCCCGTACAGCGTGCGCAGCTCGGCGCGCTGCTGCTCCGTCGCCGCGGGGTACGCGATGTGGAACAGCCCGCACGCCGACACGCGCGCCGTGAACCAGTCGCCCGCCGCCAGACGCTGATGCGGATGGGGAAGGGCAGCGGAAGGGGTTGAGGAAGGTCGAAAAGAGCGGAGAAGGGGGATGAAGGGAGGGGAAAATAGAGGGGGCAAAGGAGGGGGTGGGGAGGGGATGTTGGAAAAGTGGGGAGTGTGATTAGGAGGAAGAGGTCGGACGAACGGAGTGGGATCTGGAGAGATGAAAACGCAACCCTGCGGGCTTCGTACGGTCAAGCGCAGCTCGGCGCGCAGCTGTCAGTTGCTCCGTCGCACTCAGGCTCAAAACCGCTCGGGAGGACGCGCTCGTGGACAGCCAGTCTGTCTGTTGCGAGTTGCGAAAAAATATGACAATTTTAATTTTACGTGCTTCCCAGCATCCGGCGACGCGGCAATCGCTGGTGCGAAAATGACAATACCACGCCAGCAACAGCTGCCGATGGGAACGGTGGGGAACCGGTAGGCAATGTAATCAACTGCGAGAAAAGTAGGCCAGGAGAGTAAGCACTGTGACCGCGGGACACGAGTAGAGAGTTTTCCGGTTTGCGATACTGACGGCTGAGTTGACGAGAAAGGCATGGACCCCTGACATTATCAGCATCGACTCCGATAAAATGCTCGATACAGTCCGGTCGAGCGACACAAACAAGTAACTTCTGAGAGTTCTCAGAAGCGACCTTGACATTATTAATATCGACTCTGATAAAATGCTCGATTCAGTCCGGTCGAGAGACATAAACTTTGTTCCACATTGTACTCAACAATGGGAGATTAAAGTCATGACTGAACCTGGACGCGAACCTGAAATGGAGGTAAACCTGAAATGGAAGCGAACATGAGATGGAGGTAAACCTAAAATGGACGCGAACCTGAAAAGGAGGTACCTAAAATGGACGCGAACATGAAATGGAGGTAAACATAAAATGGACGCGCACCTGAAATGGAGGTAAACCTAAAATGGACGCGCATCTGAAATGGTGGTAAAACTAAAATGGACACGCACCTGAACAAGCGGGACGAAGTACTCGACAATGTCTCTCGGTTTCATCTGCTGTCCGATCTTGCACAGCGATTCCACCGCCTTATCGCGTACAACCGTCTCCTCGACGGTGCAGAGCGTCTCCAAAGGCGGGAGAATGACGTAGGCGAAATCGATCCCACCGACGCACGGAATGAAGGAGCCGAGCTCTTCCGCCATGGCCAGCAGCACTTCGTCGTCATCGTCGTTGTTCTCGTTAAGAAACGGAATGAGCTCCTTCCGCGTCCTGTCCTCGCCGAGAGCCCTCGCGATCGTGCTCAGCCGCCTTATCGAGTTTAAGCGCAGCTGAATGTCGTCATTTTTAAGCTCGTCGATTAGAATGGCTATCGGGTACAATGGCTCCTCCACGACGGCCATATTTGTGGCCATGTGGAAAAATGTGACGTCAACCCTAAAATATAACACGACCCTGAAGGTAAGTAATGGCCAATTAACAGAGGATCTGGCGAGTTAGTTCTCGGTCAATCCTCTCGTTTCCCTACTAAAGAAGGCTGAAGAAAAATCAGAAACAGAGCGGTACGGATACAAATATAGGTCCGTGAAAGCAGTGAAGCCTGGTGAAGCAGTTGGGTGGGAGAGGAGGTTGGCTCTGAGGAATTGGACTGAAGTCCCAGTGGGTGGCTTGACGTGGGCGGAGAGGGGAACAGAAGGATGAGGTTGAAGCTGAAGCCCTGGATGTTGTCGAAGATCACATCTACAATATCGATCCGGTAATGGGGTTTCTGTAACATATGGTACACCCAAATGCTTATCATCAGCTAAAAGCGAATCATTAGTTTTTTTCTTGTAGTTGGAATGGAGCTCCGATGTCTACGTCATGACTTGCTTGAACCAACCGTTGAGAATTGACGAAACCGGCAATTCAAACCAGAAGCTCACCAAACCCTGTCCATTCGGCAAGGATTTGGCCGTCTAAGCAAACCGCGTAAAACCTCGCTGACGAATCAGAACCTATCGGCGAAAACCACTGTGGATGCCCGTCAGGGGCAAGCAAAACCGTACCAAGCGCATTACCCCCTTCACACGCTACGTACAACCCGCGCAATCACTTCATCTCAGCTTTTTATTGGCCCACGTCGTCCCCAAACCAAACCCTCTTCAAACAGCTTCCATTCCGCCCTTCCCCCTCTGGGCCTGAATTGTGCCGCTTGCGTGTGTGCGGAAGCAAGCGGAGTGGGTGGCGGTGGTGGCTCAGGCTGGGAGTCGGGATCAAGGGACAAAGCGGTTGTTTCAATATCAGAACGGTTAGGAACGGTTTTCAGATGAAATGCCCCTCTCAACATACGTTTGAGGCGAAGTGATTTTACTCGAGGCTGCTGCATACTTCTTTTCCTGCCTGTCTTGAGTTTGCTTGCTTGTTAGCTAACCTCACGGAAGGCCGCCCTCTTGTCCACAACCTACTAATTGGTGCCGAGTATTTTACGCTTGAAGAATTCAACTCGTGGCTATTGCCGTTTGGAAGTCCAACTCTTAAAATTTGGAGCCAGCCAAAACCTTGGATTCGCTTTCGTCTGACTCAAGCAACCACCGTCACGTTGCGTAAAGAGATATACCCGAGTCTCGGCTGAGACACTCAGGTTTCGGCGTGCTCTGACCCACATCCTCAGCTACTCACGTCCTCAGCTCGTATCGTGTTCACCCGCTGTCACCCTCTTGCGTGTGTCTGGGCCTGCCGTAGACCCTCTTCTCGTTCTTCCCCGTCCTCGTTCTCTCCTTGAATTGGGCTTACACTTCTTCTGCTTCGCTCTTCGTCGCCTCTTTCCTTCACATCCACCCCGCATCCCTCTTACCACCACTTTTCCCAATGGATCGCGCGTACAAATCTGCCGCGTTTTCCTTTTTTTCCATGTCTACCAAATAGCCCGCGATAGCTCCCTTAGCAGCAGCTAGTTCACCTTTTCCGCGTGCCGACGACGGTAGGACGGGTCGTTTAGGGTCACGTCATGTCTCCAGTCATGGTTTCGTTTCCGAGTCTTCCTCTAGGGAGTACCGTTGCTGCTACCCTCGCACTGTATTCGCTTTAGAAATCGCTCGTGCCTCTTCTCTAGACTACCTTAGAACACGTTCGCACTAGAGTAGTTCCCCGGCTTCCCGTATCTTTTAAGACTTCCCTAAACTTCCGGCTTTCAGTGCCATTCATGGATTCTGCGATTGCGTTGAATTCTGGGAACCGCAACCGCGCTTGATTTCTTACATTCACACGGCTCTCTCTTCGAACGGACAGGATGAGCTGCCTATCGCCTCGCGCTCGCCTCGCCTCTCGTCTGGGATACAATGGGTGCGACGCATGGCGTGTGGTTAAGTCAGACGTGCTGGTAGCAGGCGTTCTTGGTGGCGTTATTGGTGGAAGCCTTGTTCTCGAGAGGGGCCTCAGCTGCTGAAAGAAACACTTACGCAGAGTGTTACTACGCAGAGAAATACGCAGATTTAGTTTTCCACCCGACTCGTTGAACCATCATGATCTCTTCCTCGATCGTGTCTTCATCCCCGTTACAGAATGCTGCTTTACAGAGCAACATCAGCACTTCAGTGTCAATCGACTCTCCCGCATCATCCTCGGCATGTAGCAGCCACTTCCGTTCCCTGAGTTCCGAACCTTTTGCCCCACCGAGCAAGGTTCGCCGACTGGAAGGTCATTTTTCGCCCCTCGAAAATCCCAAGGAGACAGAAGGATCGACGGAGGAGGAGGGAGTGGAAGAGAAGGGACTTTTGCTGCACCAGTTACGCTCTTCCGCGCCTGCTTTCTCCCGCGATCGCGCTGATTCGTCGCATCTTCTTCTTGACGCTGAGCCTTGCCACGCTCGAGGGTCCTCGCCCAAGCCCTCTCTCGCCTCTCTTCCTTCCGAGCTTGTCCGCGTTATAGTCTCCCTCGTTGATGCACCAAGAGACCGCGGTTGTTGCGCGCTCGTCTGCCGGGCCTGGCGCCAATGGGAGCGTGCCACGCGTACCCAGCTGCACTTGCGCGGAAGCCTCAGCGACCTTCCGAGCCTGGGGACGCTCTTCGGCTCGGTGACGGACCTGGACCTGGCTGATGTCCACCCTGATTGGCCAGGTTCGGAAGAAGAACTTCGGCAGGTCTTCCGAACGTCGTTCCCGAACCTCCGCCGCGTCCGAGCCAACGTGAGCCCGTCTGGCATGGAGTACGTGCGCCAGTGCTGGCCGAAGCTGGAGAGCGTTGTGATTGGCCACTGGGATGGTCTGGATGAGGGCTTGGAGGCGCGCCACGTCAGCAGTTTGGTGTCCCGTTGCCCTAAAGTCGATTCCATCGACCTCTCCTGGAGCAGGCACTGTGATTTCAACGAGTTGCCGAAGCAGCTGAGCGATTACAAGCTGGGGAGGATTCGCGTGCTGAACCTGCTGGGCGGCCCTGCTGCGCTAAGGGATGACGCGTTAGAGGTGTTTGGACGGGGTGCCTTTCCGGGGCTTGAGGAGCTGAGTTTCGCGATGGCGGATGGTGGCGTCACTGATATGGGGTACGTAGTGTCGCTAATCCCTTAGCTCAGAGTAGTATGACATTGTGCCAATGATTTTCAAACCCCTCGCTTCCTCTCGCTATGCACATGCGTACGGTCATTGAGCTTGATCTATTTGTCAAAATTGAACCAAAATTAGATTGGCGTCAGAGGGGTGCTGTTGCGTGGCAACCGCCCGCTGTTTATCAACTGTTTTGTGGTCATCGTTGTTTGCGCCTCAACAACAAGACTGTCCGTGTGCGCACTGCGTGTCCCTTGGCACACTGCAGCTGGCGCCTGAAAGAGCTATGGCCGTCGCAATGATGCCATTCAGGCTGCCAGCTGCTCCCTCAGCTACTTGCACCCTGAAATGACTAGCGCTGCCCGTTCTAAATCGATTCTTCTGCTTCGCCCGTCGTGGGCGGCTGGTGATGCTGCCTCTATCGGGCCTGTGGGTCGGCCCCCTACGAACACTGCCCGCAGCAGCAGCTGCGGCGTCCCCATTCCAACGGAATAGGCCTGGCAGCGGACTGGGCTTGCCTGTGGGCAGCTGCACAGCTGCCGGCCAAGAGCCATGCCGCTCGCTTGGTTTGGGAAGGCGGATGGGTTGGGAAGGAGATGGTTTGGGTGCATGTGGGTGATGATGGGCGTGGTTGTGGGGATTGGGGTTGGGATTCGGGGGATTGGGATTGGGTCAGTGACAGGGGTGGCGATGGATTAAAGCCTGTGGGGGGAGTGCTGCTGGTTGTCCTCAACTCACCTTCACTGCCTTGGTCTCCACCACTCCCATCCATCACTCCTCTCCACCCGTGCCTCACCCACTCCAACGACTTGCTCCGCTCCCATTGTTCCTGTCACGCTCCCTTGAATCCATTATTCAAAATTTCTGTCTCACCCTCTGCCGCATCGCTTGCCCTGTGCCATCCCATCCGATCCCATCCCACACCATCCCACTCCTCCCTACCCCTCCCGCCGTTCGGCGTGCAGGATCGCGAGTGTGGCGCGTGGGTGCCCGGCTCTGCGCGTGCTGCGCATTGAAGACGTGGCGCACGACCTCAACGACAGCGACGAGGGGGACGCGGATGGGGTAGCGGATGGGGGGGTTGCTGATGGGGTTGCTGATGGGGATGGCATTGGAGACACTGAGGACGCGGCTGTGGATGGCCCTTGGGGAGCTTTTGGTGGCTCAGTAGCAGCAGCAGCAGCAGTAGCCTCAGAAGCAGCAGCTGCAGCAGCAGCGGACGCAGCAGAGGTTGAGCAAGTGGATATGGAGGGTTTAGATGAGAATGTGCCTCTTCCACCTGCTGCTGCTTCTGCAAGCATATCTGCTGTAGCCCTTGCCTCTACTCTCGGCCCATCTCCCCTCCCCCAGTCCTCCCCCTCTCCTACCTCCACCGCGTTTCTTGCTGCTGCTGCTGCTGCTGCTGCTGCTGCGTCGGCTGGTGTGGCCGGTGTTGCTGCAGCTGCTGCTGCCACTTCACTTGCTCAATTCGCCGCTCTTGCACCAGCACCACCGCCGAACCCAGTCTCCACAGCCTGCCCAACCTACCCAATCACAGCTGCCGCGCTGGAGAGTCTGGCTCGGCACTGCCCGAGGCTGGAGGAGCTGTGCCTGGTGCCGTCCTTCTGTGTGCACCGCAGCGGGCCTGCAGTAGAGGCGCTAGCTGCGGGATGTAAGTCTCTGCGTGTGCTGCGACTCACTCGGTTCCTGGGCCTCGGTCGAGGGGTGCTGGCTGGTGGCGATGCAGGAGAGAATGTGGCGCAGAGGGAAGGTGGGCAGGAGGAGGAGGAGGAGGAGCAGGAGAAGCAGGAGGAGCAAGAGGCAGTTAAGCAGGAAGAGCAGTCGCAGCAGTTTCAGCAGCAGGAGATGCAGCAGCAGCACCAGGCGCAGCAATGGGATCGGCAGTTCGGTTCAGCCTCCCCTTGCGCTCCATTCGTCGATGAACCTTTGAGCTTCCCCTTGGCGGCAGACAATGGTGGTAACCCGGAAGGTAGTAATTTGGATGGTGGTAACCTGCAGGAGTGGATTATGTGGGATAGCGCCCCTTCGTTGCTGCCTCCCACCTTAGACGGCTTCAGCAGCGGCTGGGAGGTGGACGATTCTCTGCTTGCGGACCTGCAGCAGTGGCAGCAGCTGCAGGAGCAGCAGCAGCAGCCAGGGGAGGAGGCGGAGCAGCAGCAGCAGGGGTGCCCGTGCCCTCTCATTGCAGCTGGCAGCAACGAGACCACAAGCACTGGTAGCACTACCACCAGCATCGCTGCCTGCCCCAACGCCCTCCCTTGCGCTAGTGGCTGCACCAGCACTTTCACCAGCACCAGCACCAGCACCAACACCAACACCAGCATCAGCACCACTGGCTCCTCTCGCTCTCCCGTCTCTCCACCTTCTCCCCTCGCGCAGCCACCTATCCTCCCACCCCTTGCTCAGTTCACAGCACTGGAGGAGCTGGAGTTGCAGATGTGCTCTGACATGACAGACAGGGACGTGCAGGCCGTACTAGAGGGGTGCCCTAAGCTGCGGAGGCTAGAGGTGGTGGCTAACCACCGGCTGTCGGCCCGTGCGTTTGCGCTGGGCTGTGCGGTGTGCGCGAGTGGGGTGCGGCAGTGTGCAGTGGCTGCGGCTGGTGGGAGCTGCAGGGCGCGCGGACGAGCGCTGGAGAGTGTGCGAGTGATGCAGGTGAGAAAGGCGGGGTCGTGGTGCGTGGACTGGGTGGGTGTGGGGTATGGTGTGTGCTGTATGCTATGCTAAATGCCTCTCCCACCCTCGCCCACCCACACTCTCCCAGTCGTCTGTCCTCTTGTTCTCCCCCTTCTAAAACTTTTCTTTGTGTGTGCACACCGTACCATTTCAGACCATGAAGGAATGTCCATTCTCACCCCGTCCCTATGCCATCCTGTCGCCCCATTGCCCCACCTCTGCAGTGTGACAATGTGGGTTCGCATGCCCTGCTGCAGGCTCTCATGCCAGCGCGCACAACCCTCGAGGGCATTCAGATGACCGCGTCCTGGACCCACACCAGCCTCCCCACCCTCCCCCACTCGCCTTGTTCTCCTTTCTGATTCCTCACCTCTATCGCCCCATCCACATCCCCCCACCCCTGCAGTGTGACAATGTGGATTCACACGCTCTGCTGCATGCACTCAATTACCCCATTACCCCATCACGCCACTCATTCCATCACCCATTATCCCATCGCCCCGCCCCTGCAGTGTGACAATGTGGATTCGCACGCCCTGCTGCACGCGCTCATGCCAGTGCGCACAACCCTCAAGGGCATTCAGATGACCGCGTCCTGGTCCCACACCAGCCCCTCCAACCCCTCCCAGTCCCCTTGTTCCTCCCCTTTATTTTGTACCTTGACCAAATTCTCATATTGACCTCTTTGTCACCCCATCGCCCCATCCCCATCGCCCCGCCCCTGCAGTGTGACAATGTGGATTCGCACGCACTGCTGCATGCACTCATGCCAGCACGCACGACCCTCAAGGGCATTCAGATGACCGCGTGCTGGACCCACACCAGCCCCCCGCTGCCCCTCGCCTGCTTCTCCGCTCTTGAGTCACTCTGCCTTGAAGTCTCTGTCGACGCCTCGCTTTCTCCCCTGCTCAGGTATCCTCCCTGCTCATGTCTATCATCCCTTCTCATCTGCTTCTCCTTTGATCATGTGACATAGTTGGGCCCAGATGAGTTTTGTTATTTCATATAAAGAATTACTGCTGGGTGAGACTGTCTTAGATGGGCACGGAATGCCCAACGTGTTTCATCCCTTTCCTGCCATCTTCTTTTGCCCCACCTAACTCCCCTTCTGTGATGCCACCCTCCTCCTCCGTGCTCCTAGGTTCGACCCTACCAGTTCCCCCTTTTTTCTCTCGCTGTTGCAGTGCTGGTTTGGCCTCCTGCCCCAATCTCAAGTTCTTCTTTCTCTCTCTCTACGGTGCTCTGGAGCAAGACACCCTTCCGCTCCCCTCTGCTCTCATGTTCGATCCTGCTGCCTCCCTCCCCCCACCCTTCCCTCTCCTTTGCAGTGCTGGCTTGGCCTCTTGCCCCAACCTCAAGTTCTTCTTCCTCTCTCTCTACGGCGCTCTGGAGCAAGACACCCTTCCGCTCCCACCACACCACTACTCCCTCGCGTTCCTCTCCCAGCCCCCCGCGCTCACCTACCTCTTCCTCTCTCTCGAAGGAGTCCAGTGTGCCACTGCTCCTGCCCTAGCCTCGCTCGAGCTCGCGCTGCTAGCCTCCTGCCCTTCGCTCGCGATCCAGGAGATTGAATTCCGCCCCGCGCCCTGCCCGGTGGTGTCTGCTCCGCTGTGCCTAGACCTGCTTTCCCCCGATGCTGCTCGGCTGCTGTCGCTGTCGCCGTGTCTCCGGTGGGTGACTCTAGGGGGTGTGGTGCAGGAGCCGGCGATGGTGAAGCTTCTGAGAAGCCGCACGTTGCGGGATGTGGTGTTTCTCACGCCGCCGGACTGCTCTGACACGTTCAGAAGCTTCTTTGAGTCGGTTCTCAAGTCGAGGGGGTATTCGGATCAGCCGAGGAGTGGAATGGAGTGTGGCTTGGATGTTTGTCACGACTGGGTTTGTTGCTGAGGTTTGATGCTGCTGATGTGGATCTATGTCATATTTTGTTCCTTGGCGCTGAACTGGTATGACTGCTAATACGGTATCGTCTTATAGGTGAAACTTATTAGTGAAGCTTCTTTTGACTTCAGATAATAGATGCACACCAATTGTTTTCTGTAAGCTGCGGTTAGCATGAAGATGGAACCGTGCTACTACCAGTATTGAAGATACTGTGGCACCAGGCATTTCTAGCGAAGTTCAACACGACAAGGCTCCACCGAATAAAACCGTTTTGGGGACTGCTGACTTTGACGAGAGTGCAAGTGGAACGATTGTGGGTTGGAGTTCCAGGCGTCTCCTCTGATTCGGGCACCCTGCATTGGTAAGAGGTGATTGCTCAGAGAAACCATGATGTACAATCGATGTCTTTTGGGGATGACTCTTTCTCGCACGATATTTTGAACCTGCCAGCATATCCTTTGAATTGGATGAGCCTTGGACCCACCACAATAATGGTGCAATATTGGCGTTTGGCTACCTAGTCAACGATTGACAGTGCTTTTGATAGACCTTTAGCGCTCGCAGAGTGCTGGTTTCATGTTCCACCACCGTAGATTATGTTAACGGAAGGTTGTGGGATTCCTTGAAACTCTGCATAACTCTTAATGACCAAATCATGAAGGGTTGAATTAACGTACAAAGCATTGACTCGTTCCTATGAGGGTGGAACTCGAAGCGTAACTAGATTCACAGGGTAAGTTGCGTACAGGCTCTTCTCACATTGCGTGCAGATGAATGGCCATCCTGCCACTAGCAGCCGCCAAATCACTAAAGTCGTTCCACAGTTCCACTTGGCAGCTAAAGAGGGGTGGATAAAGACAATCACATCCTTACCGCTTGTGTTTTCCTCACCTGCTGACCCCTCATTGCGCCTCGCTGTCGAGTCGCGTCTGTTGTAAGATTGGGATTACTGTACAGAGATTTCTTATTCCCCACGGGACACAGAGACAAGGCCCTTGTCACAAGGGGGATGGCGGGTATTGGGGGTACGCGGGCCACATCGGCAGCAATTTTTTTTGGTGCGGTAATTCAATGATGGGGTGGAGGACAAGGTGTGGCAAAACTTTTGAAGCACGTGGGTGGGTGGGATGCCGGAGGGATAAGATTTCCAAAGCAGACATGTTTCAAAAAAGGACAGTGTATATTTCTTCGTTTCGCTACAGTACTTGTATCATGCGATCTGGTGCCAATAAAAGTTCCTAGGCAGCCTGGGGGGAAAGCCGGACCACGTGACAAACTGGCTCAAGGACGTAAAATCTCCGTAATCGCTTCTCAACTTTCCCAAACAGATGAAAACGTTGACAACGCTTTTTGTAAAGTGCATAACCTTACCTAACCGCATTCTTCGCATTGTGCTTGTACAGTAGGTGACAAGACCATTCTGAACGTGGTGACGTTCTACAATCCATGTACGTTCTCCAACCAGGTGCTCTACTAGCGCGAAAGAGGGTGTAACTCGTGTGATCCGTCGCACTGTAAAAAATTCGCCTTGCTTGTTCTTCTTACAGTTACAGTGGAAGCACTGCAGTTTGTTCAGTGTGTCTTTATGTAGACGAGTTGTACTGAACGACAGGAAGATAACAGAGCTCCGTTCCTCACCATTCTTTGTGGAGAGGGAATTCATTCCGGCATTCCAGCATCCGCTGTCTCCAACTCCTCCTGCTTTATCCTAGCTCCTCGTCCTCACAGTTCCTTCAACGCGATTGCGCCTCCCTCCAACTAGCTATATACACTGCCTGAACACTGACAGATATCAGAATTGTGGAAACCACCACCGTGTCCCCATGTCCGCCAACTCTTCTGTTTCTCCCCTTTCGAGCACCTCGAAATATCTTATTGATCAGTAATGTACAGCATTCAGTAAGTCAGCGGGCTATCATTCGACTTGTTTGGCTCCTACTGTGATTCAACGTCCGAACTTCCATCGTAGTAGATATCCGCGGGTCAACGTGCATCTGTGCGTAATTCCCGCAAAATTCTTGCGGACACTTCAGCAGAGGCACTGCCGGGGTGAATCTCCTCATTTTCCTCCGACTTTAAGGCGACTCGTGGGTGAATTTCCCTGAATTCCGACCGCGCCGCGTCAAATTTCTTTACTTAACCCGTGACCCTTCAACTCCTAGCTCGAATTGTATTTATCATGGGTGGCTGTGTTAGCAGACCCGCTATAAGGGGAGACGACATTGACGAACGTAACCCCGCTAGAGTCACACCCACGTCTTTTTCAGGCGAGCTCGCCGCTACTAACGGCGCAGATCAACGGTTAGGATCCGCGCATTACATTTCCGCCAGCAGCATCAAATCGCATGACAGCAGCTCCGAACGCTCCGGTGGCGAAAGCGGGCGAAGAAACGGGTTACCCTTCGGTAGTTTAGGCCAGCGAGGCGATGTACCTGGTTCTCCGTCCAACGGCTTTGTAATTTCCCGAGAAGCGGCGGCGAGAGATTCGCGGTGCGGCTGGGACGACTCGAGAACCGGCGGAGGAGACTGGAGCAACCGCGGCGGGAACGGCGGAAATGGGGGGTTGTTAGGCGGGGGGAACGGCGGCGAGGGGATGTATGGAAGCGGGAGCATGCACGGGATGGGCGCGGGAAGGGGAGGGGGAGCGGGGGGCGGCGGGGGGAACGGATCGGCGCGCGCAGCGTCGATGTACGCGGGGTTGGCGGGATTGGAGGGGCTGGGGGGGCTGACGGGGAGCACGTACGCGGGGATGCTGGCCACGGGCTCGGAACACGGCGGGGGGGGCGGCGGAGCTGGGGGGAACAAGGCGCAGAACGCGGCGGCCATGAGGTGAGTGCGGAGGCTCGTTCGAGTGTGGGCTTGTTCCCCCATTTCGTTCCCCCTTTCCGTTCCCCCATTTCGTTCCCCCATTCCGTTCCCCCATTTCGTTCCCGCATTCCGCTCCCCCGTTCCATTCCCCCATCCCGTTCCCAAATCCAGTTCCTGCATTCATTATGTTCCCCCATTGTTTTCCCTCATTCCATCTCCCCATTTCCGTCCCCCATTCCCGTCCATCTCCCCTCCTCTCCCCCCCCGGCTGGCCCATCCCTCCCAGAGCGATGCAAGCAGCCAAGCTCCGAGCCTCCAAGACAGCCTTGGAACGACACGACGTGGAGATCATAGGCTCGGGACCGGAGCTGCTGATCTTCTCACACGGCTTCGGGTTCAACAAGAACGTGGGTGGCATGCGTGGTAACCACCCCTCCGGTAACCACGTCACTGGTAGCCACCCCCTGGTAACCACCCCACTGGTAACTACCTCACTGGTAACCGTCTCTATGGTAACCCCATTACCCGTGGTGATGCGTTGGTCCCCACATGCTTAAACCGAACCTGCACTGTCGACCGTGCAACAGCCATGGATAGCTTGGTATCCATCCGCCTTGTAACGGCCGTTTCACATCTAACGTTTCATCCCCCGTTTCCTCTCCGGGTTCACGTGGTGCAGGTGTGGAGCGGCGTGATCAAGGCACTGGACAAGACGCGATATAAGATTGTTCTCTACAACGTCACAGGCGCTCTGGGGTAAGCCCAGTCCGCTCTGGGGTGAGGTGCAGTCCGCTTTGGCAGTCCACTCTAGTAGCATTTTGACCTTTTGAGAGCCACTTAAATCCTCTCTAGCATAACTTTTGAGGGGATCCTTTCACACCCCATGCCATCTCTTTCCCTCCTCCCCCGCCTCCCCTCCCCCCATCACAGCACGGACTATGATGCGTTTGACTATCAGCGCTACAGCACGCTGCATGGCTTCATGGACAACATTCCCTCTCATCCTACCACAACCCCTTCCCCCCTGCCCACTTCCTCCCTCTCCATCCCCCCCCCATGTCCCCCATCACAGCACGGACTATGATGCCTTTTGACTACCAGCGCTACAGCACGCTGCATGGCTTCACGGACGACCTGCTGCTGCTACTACCAGCGCTATAGCACACTGCTTGCTGCACGCTGCTCGCCTCACCTCCCTCCTCTGTGCCGTCTCTTCCCCCACCGTCTCCCCTCACAGCACGGACTATGACGCATTTGACTACCAGCGCTACAGCACACTGCACGGATTCACGGACGACCTGCTGCTGCTGCTGCACGAGCTGGGCGTCGAGGTCAGTGCCCCTTGACTTTGCAGGGTGCTTTTGAGAAATCTTAAAACGCCTTGCGAATTTTCAGAAACACTCGGGCGACCTCCTGCTGCTGCTGCTGCTGCTGATGATGATGCACGAGTTGGGTGCCTGGGTCCGTGCCGTTGCCCCCCTGCTCCCCTGCTCACCACCTGCTGCTGTTTCAACTGCGGTTTTTCTGGACCCCATATGGCCCGCTAAGCCCATCCACCCCATCATCCCTCTGAATCCCTCTGAATTCTGTGCTTGTGCTGGCGAATGCAGGGGAGGGAGCGGGGGCAGCAGTGCACAGTGGTGGGCCAGCAGCAGGCGGGCATGGTGGCGCTGCTGGCGTCTTTGGAGCGCCCCACTCTCTTCAAGCGCATCGTGCTGCTCAGCTCCTCGCCTCGGTGAGTCGTGACTTTTGAGCTGCCTCAAAACAAGAGGAGACTTTTGAGGCACCTGAAAAGCAGCAGGCGGGCATGGTGGAACACCCTTCATCCTCCCTCACTCCCTCACATTTCTGCACTCTCTCACACACAGTCCCACCCTCCCTCACCCCTCGCATTCCTGCACTCATCCGTCCACAATCATCCTTCCACTCTCTTCCTCTCACACTCCCTCACGCTCCCTCGTTACCTCGTTCCCTCGTGCCCTCGTTCCCTCGTTCCCACGTTCCCTCGTGCCCTCGATGAGTGAGCAGGCTACTGGGAGCAGAGGGGTACGAGGGGAGCTACGCACTAGAGGATCTGGATCAAGTGTTCGGCATCATGCAGGGCAACTTCAAGGTCAGGGCAGTGCCTCTGTAGTGTTCCTTTTTTTTTTTTTTTTTTTCCTTCTGTTAGCAAATGGTTCGACTCTACAAATGCACACTCGCGTTCTACTCTCTCATGTGTTGGCCTGGTTGCTTGCATCCTTGTCATTGTGGATGCACAACTGTGTGCCGGTGCAGATGCTGTATGGACGACATCAAGGAGGGGTGTGGGAAAGAGTCTTCCTGGCCTGTTTCCAAAAGTCAACCACATCTCCTCTCCCGGCCCTGCCCTGCCCTGCCCGGCCCGTGCAGCTGTGGGTACGCAACTGTGCACTAGTGCTGACAGCAGACGACATCAAGGCAGTGCGCGTGTGAAAGAGATCCCAGGCTCAACCTGCTTCTCCTTGAAAAATAATCAGCCACATTCTCTTGCCCTGCCGTGTTTGTCCTGCCAGCTGTGGGTGCACAACTGTGTGCCGGTGCTGACAGCAGACGACATCAAGGCGGGGCACGTGAAAGAGGTTGTGGACTCATTCTAAATGCTCACGCTTCGCGATGAAACCAAACCAGCCACATTTGTTCTCCCGACCCTCCCCTGCCCTGCCTGCAGCTGTGGGTGCGCAATTGTGCGCCGGTGCTGACAGCAGATGACATCAAGGCGGCGCACGTGAGGGAGTTTGTGCGCCCGCTCTTCCTGCTTCGCCCAGACATCGCCTTCAGCTTCCTCAAAACCGCCTTCGCGTGTGACGTGCGCGACATCCTGCCAAGGGTGAGTGTGACATTATTATGACACATTCCCATAATGGTCAGTGTTGCCTGGTCCTAGCTGCTGCTTTTTGCGTGAAGTGGGCAATCTCGTTGTTGGAGGTTTTAGTCTGTGCTTACATTGGTGTTCGCTTGCTGGGTTGTTTGCAGGTGATGGTTCAGGTTCACATGTTGTTTTTCTCCGGAGAGCCTACAGTTCCCGAGTCTGTCATGCAATACATGCTCAAGGCTATACCTAATGCATATGGTGAGCTCCTTCCAACAAGATCGCTTCAAGATTCCCCCGAGATAGTCGCAAATTCTTTAGAGAAGCACCTAAGCATGCCGATTCGGGATCCATCTGGCCATTCTAGTAGGAGAATGATGAACACTCGCATACCGTTGCCGTCTCAAGAAGAAGGTGAAGAAGGTGATGATGGTGGAGAGACCCAAGAGGATTCACTTTGATTTGAATGTTTTGTATATTATTCAATTCCTCTAAGTATGGGGTGTTTTTTTTACACTAATACGGGTATGTACTATACTAACCCTGTAACAAACTATCAAAGAATCAATCGCTCTCGCCGAAGCCCCTTCCCAGATCTACGGGCTGCTGGCGTGACAGCTTGGAAAACATATGAGCCTGAATTGGCTGTGGCGCTGAATTCGCCTGGTTGCACTGCCAAGTTAGCGCTCCCCCGATGGCGAAGTGCAAATACAGGCTGGCAAGCTCGACAACTCAGCATCCTTCCAGCACTTTTGAGGGTCCCCTCCGGCCAAGCGCAATTCCCAGAGGCATGCCACGCCAGCAAACTGTCACGGTCAATTCGCGCCGGCGAGCATTCATTCGTCGGCGATCAATGTTACGGCATATTCAACCGGATTGTCAATCTCGCTTGCAACGGAAAGTGCATCACTGAAAGTTTCGCACGTCCTTGCAACGAACACGACATGCCATGGCATCGGACCATTTCTTGTTTCTGCTTTGGTTGCTTTCCCGCCCGACCCCCCCGAAACACCATGCCCTCTCTTCAAAGCACCATTTTGCTGAACTCAACTGTTAAGTACTTCAACTACTCTGCTTCTCTTCCGCCGCGTCGCGAAGCAAGTCCGCGACGTTGTTGCACTTCCAACGGATTTTGACTACGCGCTTTACCTGGCTTTTTTTTAGATCAGGAACCCCCACTCTCACATTAGGATCACCCCCATTTGGACCTGCCTCGCGTATTTTCTCGGCTCTAACCGTTGCCGACCGTTTCTTGCTCATTCTCTCTGTACAGTTCTCTCATAGGCTAAATAACCTGGGCGTAAATGGCCGTTCGCCGCTCACTCTCAACGGCCCTTGTATTGCTACTCGGCGCCGCGTTCGCATTTCACATCTCTCTTGTCGCCGCAGCCGAAGCGGCAGATCGCGGCAATCTCGAGACATGCACGGCAGCTGCCGACACGGCAGGAGCGGAGGCCAAAACATGCGCCAATGTCGCTGCCGCAGAAAGCGACGATTCAACCGCTTCTGTCGCTGCCGCAGAAAGCGACGATTCAACCGCTTCTAACGCTTCCGCAGATTCTGCTGTTGAGGATGGCGGGAACCCGTCGCTGACGCTGCGCCTCGACACGGCAAGCGGCGGCGGTGGCGATGAAGGCGAGCGGCGCGTGATCCAGCTGTCGTCGTGGCGGCCGCGCGCGTATCTGTTCAAACGGCTCCTGTCGGAGGAGGAGTGCGACCACATCGTCGCACAGGCGACACCTCGCCTACAGCGGTAAGTCGCACAGGCCACGCCTCGCTTAAAGCGGTGAGTCGAGGCGCGGTGAGTCACGGAGCAGTGAGTCTAGCCGACCCAAGAGCTCAGTCAATGTACAATACAGTCAACACGGTCAGCGCAGTCAACAAAGTAAAAACGGTCTTGTCTTGAGCGTCTCAAAACCGAGCAGACATAAATGAATGGCCAACTCCCCTTCCCCTTCCCCCTCCTCCCTTAACCCCCCATTTCCTCTTCCCCTCACTCCCCGCCGTCAGATCGTCGGTGGTGGACGGTGTGGATGGGCACGTGTCGGTATCGACGGTGCGCACGAGCAGCGGCATGTTCATGGAGAAGGGCGAGGATGACGTCATCGCGCGCATCGAGCAGCGCATCGCCGTCTGGACCTTCCTGCCGCTCGCCAACCAGGAGTCGCTGCAGGTGTGGTGAGGGGGGGGAGGGGGAGGGGAGGTTGCGCGGGGAAGTGCGCAGGTGTGGGGGGGTGCATGCTGTGCGTGCGGGGCATGCGTCTGATCTGAACATCGAGCAGCGCATCGCCATCTGGACCTTCCAGCCGCTCGCCAACCAGGAGTCGCTGCAGGTGTGGTGAGGGGGGGGAGGGGGTGGAAAGAGGGTGAGATGAGGGCGTGTGGGGTGTGCGCAGGTGTGGGGGGGGTGGGACGGCAGGGGTGGGACGGCAGGGGTATGCTTCTGACCTTCCTGCCGCTCGCCCACCAGGATTCGCTGCAGGTGGGGAAACGGGGATGCGGGGGGCGGGAGGGGGTGGGGGAGGGGGGTGTGTGAGGGCTTGTGCGCATGTGAGGTCGTGCATGTGAGGCATGTGAAGGTCAAAATCTTCGTCTGAAGCATGTGAGGCCGTGCATAAGCGGCTGTGCCTGCTGGGCTATTCGTCTGAACCTTCCCTTCCAGCCACTCGCCAACCAGGAGTCGCTGCAGGTGTGTGGGGTGAGGGTGTGAGGGTGTGCGAATGTGAGGGCATGGGGGAGTGCGAGCGTGAGAGGGTGTAAGCATGTGGGGGGCCACTTGTGCGCTTGCGCACGTGTCCCCCACACACCCTCGCATCAATCCTTTGCTGCTTCCTCCCTCTCTCCTCCCGCCCACACCTCCACCCCTATAGGTGCTGCGGTACGGCGTGGGGCAGAAGTACGACTCTCACCACGACTACTTCGACGACCCCCTGCACAAACAGGTACAGGTAGGCACCATGGCACGGCACCCCCGCGCCCAGAAAAGGAACAAACGAAACGAGCATGCAGACAGTCCTTGGCTGTAGCAGCTCCGTGACCCACACCATGACTACTTCGACGACCCGCTGCATCAGCAGGTATGTAGCACAGCTATCACATCACTCCCGCACCAGGAGAAGAAAGAAGCCATCAAACAAACGATAAAGAAACACTCTGTGACGCCCCCCTGCACCCTGCACCAACAGATACCATGGCGCTTCCACACCTCGAAAACGAACAAACGAACAAACGAACAAACTGAAGAAAAATTACTCTCTAGCAGCTCCGATCCACGACCCCCAGCATTACACTCCTCAAACCCCTTCTCTCCCCGCTTCTCCCCTGCCCATTCCCCCTTCTTCCAGAGGGGCGGTCACCGCTACGCAACGGTCATCATGTATCTTAACAACGTGACAAAGGGTGGCGAGACGGCTTTATTAAACCGCCTTCCTCCCCTCCCTCTCCCCCGATTCTCCCTTGCCCATTCCTGCCCCATTCCCCCTCCCTCTTCTAGAGGGGCGGTCACCGCTATGCAACAGTAAAAACCGCGTGAACTGAGACGATTTTTGAGGCGCCTCAAAAATCGTCTCAATTCACGCGGTTTTTATATAGAGGGGCGGTCACGGCTATGCAACAGTCCTCATGTATTTAAACAACGTGACCAAGGGCGGGGAAACCACCTTCCCAATGAGCAAGGACCCCTTGCCCAAGGACGATTCATGATCTGACTGTGCCAAGGGAATGCTGCGGGTGAAGCCCATCAAGGGGAGGAGACACTCTCCTCTTCTTCAACCTGGTGCCCCCTTTCTCTCTCCCTCTTCCCCACTGCCCTTCCCCCCTGCTCCCAGAGGGGCGGTCACCGCTACGCGACGGTGCTCATGTATCTCAACAACGTGACCAAGGGAGGAGAGACCACCTTCCCAATGAGCAAGGACCCCTCGCCCAAGGACGACTCGTGGTCTGACTGTGCTAAAGGCGATGCTCTGCTCTTCTTCAACCTGCTTCCTCCCTTCCCTACCCTTCCCCCCCCTGCCCTCCCTCCCTGCTCCCAGAGGGGCGGCCACCGCTACGCTACAGTCCTTATGTACCTTAACAACGTCATCAAGGGCGGGGAGACGACATTCCCAATGAGCAAGGACCCTACTCCCAAGGACGACTCGTGGTCTGACTGCGCTAAAGGCGTGCTGGGGGTGAAACCCATCAAGGGCGATGCTCTGCTCTTCTTCAACATGCTGCCGGATGGGACGCCGGATGAGAGCAGTCTGCACCATGCTTGTCCCGTGGTGGAGGGGGAGAAGTGGTCCGCTCCCAAGTGGATCCATGTGGGGAGCTTCGATGAAGAGCCCGCTGCGGGCTGCATGGACAGCAACGCCTTGTAAGTAACCTCTTGAGGCGCCTCAAAAGTCCCCTTGTCAAACCCCCTCCGCTGACTGCTGGCATCAACAAGGCTGTGAGGGGGTTTGGCTGGCTGCATGATACACCAGATGAGAGCAGTCTGCACCACGCGTGCCCCGTGATGGAGGGGGAGAAGTGGTTCGCTCCCAAGTGGATCCACGTGGGGAGCTTCGATGAGACTCCTGTTACAGCCTCAGGCTGTGTGGACAGCAACGCCTTGTGAGTATCCCCGTGACTGCTTGTAGCGAGAAGCTGCTTGTGCTGAGTGCAAGTGCTAACAAGGAGTTCATGATTGGGGTTGTCAGGGAGTGAAGGCTCATGCCCTCTTCCGTAATCCTCCATCCTTCTCTGCCTTCCATTGTGCCACTTACTTGCTCATGGGTGTTTTTGAGAATTCTCAAAAACTCTCTGCCTCCGACTTTTGAGTCGACTCAAAAGTCAATTCTCAAAAACTCTCTGCCTCCTCCCATTGTGCGACTTACTTGCTCACCCATCATTCCAACTGTGAGGCGTAGAGACGGGAGAGACAGTGTGAGCGCAACAAAAGGAGTACATGAGTGGGTCTTGACAGAGAGGCGACTCACGCGCACTTCCATCCCATATTTCCCATTCGTAATATCTCTCCCTCTACAGGTGTGAGGTGTGGGCAGAGACTGGAGAGTGTGAGTGCAACAAGGAGTGCAACAAGGAGTGCAACAAGGAGTACATGATAGGCACACCCGGGGAACTGCCATGTCTCAGCGCTCTCTCTCGTGTACCCCCACTCGTTCTCTCCCACTGTCCCTCGCTGGTCTGTATTTTCCCTCGTTGTCCAGCTGTGAGGCGTGGGCTGAAACTGGCGAGTGTGAGCGCAACAAAGAGTACATGATCGGGTTTTGACAAAGAATGGCTCATACTCTCTTGCTTCCCCCCTTTACCTCTCACGCATCATTACAGCTGTGAGGCGTGGGCAGAGACGGGAGAGTGTGAGCGCAACAAGGAGTACATGATCGGCACACCGGGGGCACCAGGTGCTTGCAGGAAGTCCTGCAACGTGTGCACTGCTGAGAATGAAGATGCTGCTGGGGATGGGGGTGGTGGTGCTGATGACGGTGATGCTGATGATGCTGGTACCGAGGATGGTGCTGATGGGGTTGGTGCTGATGGTGCAGCAGCAGAGGCAGCAGAGGAGGGCAGAGCTGCTGCATGAGCTGGCGTTTGAAAAGGCGTACATATGATGTCCTAGCAAGCATAGAGTGTGCAGTTTCCACAGTTTCCAGCAGATTCTCTGGTTCCTACCGCGCATGCTTGACATGTGTCTGGCATGTGCATGGGTGGCCATCACTGATAACGCAAGAGGACCATGGCATGGCATGTCAAGAGGGATCAGTAGCAAAGAAGGTCCGTCACCCCACCTCGGGGTTGCACCATTTTGCTCGTGTGTTGCGTCATTTGCACGCTGGCTTGAGTTGGACGGAACTTGTTGCCACCACAGTATGGCAAATTAAAGCGCAAATCATGTGTACAGAAGGACACAAAAGAACATCACCATCATGGGTACACAGTTTGTACAGCACAGCACCCCTACATAATCCTGAACATGACTGTGAAACTGCGATCTGGTGGCATCTATATCCCCGGCCTCGCACTTACACCCTTCCACCCCTTTACTGAGGCCCTTAACATGACTCTGGTAGTGAGCAGCAGAGCACCACCACCATGTGCACCACAGTCGCCCTACATGGGTTTGAACATGACAGTGAAGCTCAGAATCTTAAACTTCTCCCCCTTGCCGCGCCACACGTCAATCCTCACGACACACTTCTCGTTCTGACTCACATCAAACACACGCTTATCCGGCACCAACCACTGCTGCAAGATCGTTGCATCTATATCCCCACCTTGCCCTCGCACCCTTCACCCCTCCCTACATAGGCTTGAACATGACAGTGAAGCTCAGAATCTTGAATTTCTCCCCTTTCCCCCGCTGCACATCAATCCTCACAACACACCGCTCGCTCTGACTCAGATCAAACACGCGTTTCTCCGGCACCGACCACTGCTGCGAGATCGTAGCGTCTATATCCCCGCCCTCGCACTCACACCCCTCCACGCATGCCACGTGTCCCACCCCCATTCGCTCGTAGCTGACCAGGTACCGGATCTCCAGCTGGGCCTGTGCGGTGGAGGGGTTGTCCAGCTGGAGGGCGGGCTTGTTCTGTGCTGATGTGTCAAAGATGAACTCTGCGAAGCTTCCTGGAAGGAGAGAGTGAAGGGAAGGTGAGCGAGGGAGGGGAGAAGCAGGGTTGAGGAGAAAAGAAAGAGAGAGAAAGCGTGTGCACTCCTGCCCGCCATGCAAAAACGTGATTGAAGAAGTGTTTTGAGACGTCTCAAAACAAACATGCTTGCAACACGCACTCAAGCACATGGCACATACCCATGCCCATGTGCGCTCGCCCTCACCTGCTTGCCAGGTCGCAAAGCCCGGCTTGGGGACCTTGGAGTCGGGGTCTTTCGTGAAGTTGAACCCTCTCACTGCCCGCACTGGCGGCTGCTTTTAAGGCGCCTCAAGAACAGACTAACAGAGACACACGCCCGCTCACTGCTCTCTCCTCACCTGCATGCCAGGTAGCAAAGCCCGGCTTGGGGATCTTGGAGTCGGGGTCTTTCGTGAAGTTGAACCCCTTCACCGCCCGCACGGGCGGCACAGTTGCCTCTAGCAGCTCGTACGAGTAGCACAGCGCCACCTGCGCACCCCATCCAGTCCACACCCAGCACCCACTCTCAAGAACATGTTTAATTCACAAAAGGGTGACACCCGCACAGGAGGCACAGTTGCCTCTAGCAGCTCGTATGAATAGCACAGCGCCACCTGCCCGCAACCCACCCCACCCGCTCCCCACACCAGGTGATTGGTAAGTCGACAAGCAATGAAAAAAACATAAAGTGGTTTCTCAAAACAACAGCTACTGTAGTTGGTGCGGTCACGCACCTGCTCGCCTTGGCCCCCAAACTCCCCGGGGAACCAGCGGGCAAAGAGCGGCGGCGGCACCTTGAGCAGTGCCAGCTCTGCTGCTCTCTCCTCCATGGACGCTTTCGTAGCTGCCCTCTGCCGCTCAAAGAAGCCTGGCATGAAAACAGAGTGCAAGAGGGCGGAGGGTGGAAGCGAAAGATACACCTTGAGCAGCGCCAGCTCTGCTGCTCTCTCCTCCATGGACGCTTTCATGCCTGCCCTCTGCCGCTCGAAGAAGCCTGGCATTTGGGGATGGAGCAGGAGGGAACGAGGGAGGGGAGAGAGGGGTGGAACGAGAGGAGGAGAGAGGGGGGTTGGCATGGCACCACCTTGAGCAACGCCAGCTCTGCTGCTCTCTCCGCCATCGAGGCTTTCACGGCTGCCCTCTGGCGCTCAAAGAAGCCTGGCATGGGGCACCGCTCCCATGCTTGAGCAGCAGCAGTGGCGGGCGCAGCGGTGGCGGTGGTGGCTGCGCAATGCGTCACGGTAGTAGAAGCAGAGCTCCAGACATAGCTCAGTGAGCTGCGTGCGTGCAGTAGGCTTAAAGCAAAGGAGAAAACAGAAGTTAGTTTTCCGCTCTGTGTAAAAGCAGTGCCCTCACGAGGAGGGCATGGCATGGCATGGCATGGCATGGCATGGCTTGGATACCTTGAATGGCGGTGCGGAAGAAGTTGACGAGCACATGAGGAGGGCATGACATGGCATGCCTGGCATGGCATGGTATGGCATCAGTAGTAGTACCTTGAATGGCGGTGCGGAAGAAGTTGATGAGCACATCGGCGTATCGCGTGCGAGCGAGAGGCAAGCCTGGGTGCAGACCCATGTCGTCCATGGCTATCAGGTCGTGCAGGCCGAAGTGTGGCGCCTGGTGGGGATGGTGGTTGGGAATGGAGGGAAAAGCTTCATGTGGTCAGGCATATAATGATGGTGCTTGGGTGCTGTTGCTGCTGCTGCTGCTCCTGCCCCTCCCAAGTGCAGCCGCCAATGCGACGAATGACGAGGGAGGGAAAATGCAGTGCGAGGTTAGCCCCATGGAATGACACGTGAGTCCACTCAACATACCCACCTGCTGCACTGCTGCATCAACGACCCACCTGCTGTGCTGCGAGGTTCGAAAAGGCGTTGCGCATGGAGATGACTTTTGAGGCGCCTCAAAAGGCGTTGCGCATGGAGATGGCAGGGAATCCATAGTAGCGTGCGAGAACCAGAAAATCGTCCTCTGTCACACGCCCCATGCCTTTGAGTTGACTCATAAGCAAAGACCCAGCTGCTGCTAACGCACCCACCTGTTATGCTGCGGCATCAACGACCCACCTGCTGTGTTGCGAGGTTCCAAAACGCATTCCGCATGGAGATGGCAGGAAAGCCATAGTAGCGTGCGAGCACCAGGAAATCGTCCTCTGTCACTCGGCCGGTGCCGCGGCAGTCAAACGAGTCAAACGAGAACACTCCGATGTTCTCCCGTGTGAGCGGCTGCTGTGGGCCCTCCTCCACGAGCTCCACCCCTGTCTTGGGGTCGGTCTGATGGGAGAGAGAGGAATGGACAGCTTGAGAACGAAAACACGACAAATTTGCGGATCTCCTTTCACGGGTCAATGGCTGCTGTGGGCCCTCCTCCACCAGCTCCACGATGGAAAGGGACTGGGGCAAGGATGGGAGAAGGAGAGAGATGGGAGAGGGAGAGGTATAAGCAAAGCATGCAATGCTGCCCGAGTCAGAGGATGCTGTGGGCCCTCCTCCACCAGCTCCACCCCCGTCTTGGGATCGGTCTGATGGGGCAGGAATTGACAGAGAATGGAGCAGGGAGAGAGTTTGATACAGCATGCACTGATGCCAATGCCAACGAGATGTTCTCCCAATCAACGGCTGTGGGAACCCTCCTCCACCAGCTCCACCCCTGTCTTGATCCGTCTGCTAACGAGGTGAATGGGAGAAAATGATGGGGAAAACTGATGGGGGTAGGTGGAGCAAGAACGGTACAGCATGAGAAGAAGCTGCCTTACCGAGGGACAAAGAGCACGGTACAACCGAGGGAATGCTTGCTTACCAGCCATGTGCGTCGCCAGAGGTTGCCTTACCTGCCATGTGCGGCACTAGAGGTTGCCTTACCTGCCATGTGCGGGACTAGGGGTTGCCTTACCTGCCATGTGCGGCACTAGAGGTTACCGCGGCACCGGAAGAAGAAATGCAGAAAGAGGATGTTACGAGGACCATGGTAGTGCTGAGTGGCCCAGGAGTTGACTTTTGAGTCGACTCAAAAGTGCTGAGTGGCCCAGGAGTTGACTTTTGAGTCGACTCAAAAGTGCTGAGTGGCCCAGGAGTTGACTTTTGAGTCGACTCAAAAGTGCTGAGTGGCCCAGGAGTTGACTTTTGAGTCGACTCAAAAGTGTTGAGTGGCCCAGGAGTTGACTTTTGAGTCGACTCAAAAGTGCTGAGTGGCCCAGGACAAAGAGACAGCAGAACCAGGCATGACACGACACGTACCAGCCATGTGCGGCACCAGAGGTTCCCCCGGCACCAGAAGAAGAAATGCACAAAGAGGAAGGCGGGCGGAGTGGGCCAGAGCTTGAGCAGGCGCTGCAATACAACGTCCATGTCCTTGGCTATCTCGGGGTAGCTGGCTGCTAATGCCCACTCCACCACCACCAGGTCTACCTCCTTGGGGAGCTTTGCCAGGTACGTGCTCCTGATGAGCGAGACGGGGAGAGGGATGGGGTGTGTTCAAATTGATTAGTTGTCGGCGAGAGCCCGAGCAGGCGCTGCACGCCCATGTCCTTGGCTATCTCAGGATAGCTCGCTGCTAAAGCCCACTCCACCACCACCAGGTCAACCTCCTTGAGAAGCTTTGCCAGTTACGTGCTCCTGAAAGGGGGGGATGATAAGCAGGTGGATGAGGGGAGCCATGAGACGAGACGGGGAGAGGGATGGCGTGGCGTGTGCTAGCACTGAGCAGACATGGGCCAGAGCTTCAGCAGGCGCCGCAGCAGGCACTCACCCCAGGCACTTCCCCCAGGGCTGACAGCCGAATGGCCCCAATGACGAGGTTGAGCAGCCAGTAGGGCTGCTGGGGGGGGGCTGGTCCCCTGCAACAGGCAGCCCATGCAGTGAACCACCAGCCATTCACCCCGGCCAACACATGAGAACCGCACTCACCCCAGGCACTTCCCCCAGGGCTGTGGCCCAATAGCCCCGATGGC